CATGCTGGCTGGGGAATTCTGGGAGCTGAAGTCCACCCATCTTAAAGCGGCCAAGGTTGAGAAACACTGCTCTGGAGGTGTGTGAGAGAAGAAGTTGGAAACCAGGAAAAAGAGACACCCATCCTGCGCCACCCCAGCCGTGTTGCTCGAAAGCCTTGCCAGGAAGCCTGGGGTACCTCCAACTTCTTGATGGCCTCCTCCTTGTCTGCAGGCGCCTTGGCTTTGCGCTTGGGAGCCGGCACCGTCCGCCCTGCGCCGGAAAGAAACCAGAAAAGCGGGTGATCCTGGGCACCAGCCCTCTTGGGCCCATTTTTTGCCAGGCTCAAATCAAATCGTAACTCACGGCCGTCATTTTCCAATTTCAGGCACGCTGCAGGCCTGACATTGAAATCAGCTTGCACCCCACAAGGTGTTGGACTACAACTCCCACTGTCCTGACAGAGCGGCAGAGCTGATGGGAGTTGTAGTCTGACACTCCTGGAAAGCCTCAAGTTTGATGGGCTGGTGTTCTGTCCAGCTTTTGGGTTGGACCAAAGGACATATTCGGGTTTTCCCAATGCTCCGAACTGCAACACGGAGGGAAGGTCCTGCCTCTAATATTCGAAGCAGTTTTGTTCTCCACCATCTCCTCCAGAAGAGGACAATCCGTGGTTCACCGGCACCAAAACCCAGCCCTGACATTCAGCAGCCCAGTCCCCAAATGTCAGCCACGACTGCTGTTAATTCAAAAAAATTAAGCACAGAAGTGGGAGGCCGCCCTCTTTCCATCATCAACCTGCCCCAACACAGCCTGAAATCACACCGACAACATTGGGTCATGTCATCCCAGGTTACTTTTGGGAAGGGGGAAGCTTTTTCCAGGAAGAAGCGGCGGGGCAGGTTTGGGAGGATTGATATTTCATCAACGGATCACAAATGACTTACGTTGTTTCCGAGTCTTCTGCACCCGAATCTTTAATTCTGGAGGGAGCTGTCGCCAATCTGCAGAGATCAGCAAGGTTTAATCAGGCAATTAGAATTTAGCTAGCTGGGCCCAAGAGCTCTCCTGGTGGAGCTAAAAATAAATAAATAAATAAAAATTCTATATCCCTCTTGCATTATCCAGAGCAGCATGGCTGGCTGGGGAATTCTGGGAGTTGAAGTCCACCCATCTTAAAGTGGCCAAGGTTGAGGAACCCTGATCCACAGCAGGGTTCCTCAACCTTGGCCACTTTAAGCCGTGTGGACGTCAACTCCCAGAACCCGCACAGAAAAAACGGCCACACTTTGGACAGTCCTGAGGACGGAGGCCTCTGCGGAAAAGGGACACCAGGTCGAGTGGCAGAAGGAGAGGGCGATGGCGCGGGAGGCGGAGAGACGGAAACCCAGCAGCCCCCTGTGAGGACGGTGCCACGTGGCGAAAGACAGGACAGCCTGCAGGGTCTTTATCGAAGACTCCCGGGAGTGGGCTGCAGCAACACCAAACGGAGCTTCCCCCCACTAGTCACTAAGTTCTTCTTACTCATCCCAGACACGCAGCCGTGGCCAAACTCTCTAGTTTTGCGAGGTCATGAGTCCTAAAGGTAGCAGGCTTTCTGGGGCGGGGGGGGTGTTTAAAAGTCTCTTTTCACGCTGGAGCAGAAACAGCCTAAAATATTGCAACAGCTCAAGGGGCTGCATTACAAAGCAGAACTTCACCACCGGGAAACCTCCCTCTCGGCTGAGATACAGGCAGTCCTCCATTAACAACCACTTGTTCAGCGACCGTTCCAAGTTATGACAGCACTGAACGAGGGATACTTACGACCGGTCCTCGGAGTTCTGGCCGACCCGCCACTCCTGTCGTCACGTGACCATGATCCCAGCACTTGGCGACCAGCTCGCACTTATGACCGGTTGCAGTGCCCCGCGGTCACCTGACAGCCATTTGTGACTTCCTCTGCCGGGTTCCCACAAGCAACGTCAGTGGGGAAGCCGCTCTCACTGCTGTTTATCCCAAGGAGCCCCACTACAGAGTATGAGATTCCAGGAAATTTGTGCCGCAGGACCCGCTCTCTGCCCACCCCACGTGCACTTGTGGCAGCACCCCCCTACCTCGCTCCGTAGTACTCACCCGCCCTTCAGCCTGCTTGTGAGTACTACGGAGTACAGTACTGCCTGCTGGCTTCCTCATTGACTTTGCTTGTGGGAACCCGGCAGGAAGTCGCAAGTCGCAGTCGCATAAGGTCTTCACTTAACGACGGCAACGGACTGCCGTCACTAAGTGATGTGGTCACATGACATTGCATTTTACAACCGCATCGCTTAGTGATGGAAAATCCAGTCCCAGTTACGGTTGTTGAGCAAGGACTACCTGTACGTAAACCCTTCCTGTTCCAGCCCTGCCCACGACACGGGCAACATTATCAAGACTCATTATGAACACGGATAAGGAACGCCACAAAGAAGCACTCATGCACAGAACTGCGAGAGCAGTCATGACAACGACTAGCCAGGGCCAGGGACGACCAGCTTCGCATTCAACCACGGGGCAAACCGAGTGACTCCGGGCCAGTAAATCCAGCCTACCTCTCTGGGTTGTTGTTGTTGTGGGAGTAAGACGAGGAAACATCCCACCCCGTGTGAATTCCTTGAGCCCCCCAAGGAAAATGCAATACAGTCCTCAATGTGACGCTCACGATTAGTCCCCATTGAACACCTGTTAAGAGGTGGATCTAACAGCACCCAAATCTCTGGAGACAGGCGGGGGCAAAAGAAGCCCCCTTGAATGAGCAGGACATGCAGCGTGCCCCATGCATTAATCTTCCCCAGCCTTACCCGGGTTCCACTCAATGGCGTTATCGATGGGGCCCGTCGTCTGGTACTTGTCAGAATAGCGCTCGATATCTGGGGGGGGGGGAAATGCAAGCCATCAGCCATGCCTTCTTAAAAAAAAACAGGGTGAGAAATGGGGGGGCTGCTCCTCCTCTGCAGTGCTTCGAATCTGGAATTACCTTTTCAAAAAGTTTCAAAAGCCACCTGGGAACCCGCGACTCTCCCTCCTCGCTTTCAAAACCATCCATCGCGTTTCCTCTGCCCAGGCCCCCAACTCTTTGCCCCTCTTGCTCTCCAACCCCCCCAATGGGAAGGGCACCATTTTTAGGGACCCTCCTTCCAGAGGGGAAGAGCAGGTGGCGAAGAGCCGAGGAGGGGAGCACCCAGCCCTTTCTTATTTATTTGATTTATGTACTGAATTTATGGGCCGCCCGTCTACCCCAGAGGGCGACTCTGGGCGGCTCACAATTAAAATCCAAAACAGTAAAAACAACAATACAAATATAAATATCCATATTAAAATAACTAATAACAATTCTATATAAAAAGACAATACTTTGAATTAAGGGCCTCTAGCACAGTGTTTC